TATTATCATTCAAAGAAAATTATTCAAAAGATTAAAAAAAAAATTTAACATCTTATAAAAATAATTTTTTTCTATTAATTTAATATATACATATTTATAGTTCCTCAGAATTACCTTATTTATTTCCCTTCAAATAATTCAAGAACACTACACTTATAAATCTCAACAAAAAAAAAAAAAAAAAAGAAGGCAGTAGCAGCATGACAACCAAAAAACACAAATCCCATTGGAACATATTTGTTTTGGTCATTGCTTTCAAAAAATAATTAATTGAATGCATCTAAGTAAGCAAAGGAGAAAATCAAGTAAAATTTTTACTTGGAATCGAAAGACGACTAAAATTTACCTTGAAGTTTTTAGAGAGAAAGGTTGGTAACAAAAAGAGCACTTGTTGGACTCATGAAAGAAAAAAAGAAAGGGCTGAGTGGACGCAATGGTGACTCGATAAGACTAAGATCCAAGTCTGAGATAATGTTAAAAACTAAAGAGAAATGTAGAGTCAAAACTTGAAAGTCAAAGGCTGTATGGACTATGGAGGTTGAATAATATGAGAAGAGTTTGAAGTTTGAAGAGTTAGAGTCTTTGAGGGTATTATGGCAAGCAAGAATAGAAAAGGTCGGGAGATGAGTTATGAGTAGAGTGGGATTATTTTTACTTCTAGAAGATGATGAGTCAAGAGAATCAATTAGTTAATTAGGGAATATTAGTCAATTATTAGAGGTTTAGGTGGGATTGAGAATTGGAAAATAAAATAAATAAATAAATAATAAATAAATTTTAAATTTTTAGACGGGTAAACGGGTCAAACCCGTTAACTTGATGGGTTAACCCGTTATTGACCCGTGACCCATTGGGTTCTCTTAACGGGTCATTAACGGGTCACGAGTCATAAATATATGACCCCAACCCGTTTTAAATGAGCGGGTAATGGGTGGGTTAACGGGTTGGGTAAAAAATTACCAAGTCTACTACTTGATAACCATTTTAAAATCCACGATTCCCTTCTTCTCACCTTATCTGAAACACCTCTTCCACCATGAATCAACTTCTCTTACTGAGAAAATATAGTTTCTTCATTTCCATCTTTATATAATAAGTACATATAGAAACAACAACATTGCAGAAGAGGGGCAACCAGTGTTAGATTCATTCCGATTTTAGTTGACCATATTCACTGTTGATTTAAAATGACACCACTAATGAATACACCTATAGATGCGGAATACTTTATTCTTTCCTTTTGCTGTAATGGATTCGATATTAAATTTTCTTAGACTTGTTGTGATTTCTGTCAGAGAGATAAAATGGCTACTATGACAATTGCAGAGTTGACCAGAACGATCAAGTGAAACTAGCTTCGTTAAATGCATTTCATTAACTTATGTTGAACGGAGAATGATGCCATAGACATGTTTTAATTTTATTATTTGTCACCCTTTTATTGGATGACATACCACGTCAGCATTAAAAACCATCACTGAGCTTATTTGTCACCCTCTTATTAGATGGGATACACGTTAGCATGAAAAACCATCGTTTATTTACGATTTCCTACAAACCATCACTGAGCTCAACTTCCTACCTTCTTCTCTGTCAATCATCTACTTTGTTTACCTGGCTTCGAATCCGCCAACACACACACCACATAACTTGAAGAAATTACAAGTTCTAACAAATTCTGATATCAAAGATTTTACTTGTTGAGGTTTGAAGTTCTTTAACATATTTACCCAACATAGAATATATATATATATATATTACAAAAAAAGCCAAACAAACTCACTGTCCATACATAACGGAGTAGATCCTTTCCTTCGTCAACGCCTTCGATGGCCATCCTACCTAACCCCTTCTGCTTCTGATGCAAATTTACACAACAACACAGTACACAAATACGTATCCTTATAACTCCTTACCTCCATTAACTGGCAAATCTAGCTTCGTCAAAACCTGCATAAGGTTAGAAACACAAAAACAAAAACCAATTTTAAATGCCAACTAAAAGTAATCTCTATACTAAAGCCATCACTAGAAAAATCCCCTTTTCAGACATAACATTTCGGTCAAGCAAAAATCTTGACCGAAAAAAGACGTATTTTGGACATATTCACTAACCGAGACAAAAAATTGTCCGTTTTATATCATGTTTGATGATTAATTCGGTCAAAACTTATTTCGGTTAAGCATTTCAACCGAATTAAGGTGACTACAGTTGCCGCCATATTACGTTCGGTTAGTATGCTTGATTGAAAAACAATTTGGTCAATATGATTGACAAAACCAATATAAAAAAAAAATCACACAAATATTTAAATCATTAAAAACATTTGACTTGATTTGGGTCAATACTACTAACCAACCAAAAGGGCCTGGTTATAATGTGATGGAAACCGATTAAAGTTTTAGCTTTTCAAGTTTCTTTCCTCCTTTATTCGGTCATTTTTATTGACCGAAAATGACCCTTAGTTCTGATTTGATGGATGCTGGTAAAAGCTTCAGACTTTTACATTTTCCTCTTTTGTTCGGTTAGTTTTACTGACCGAAACAGATTCTCTGATTTTTATGATTTAATGGAGTTTGCAGAAAGTTGAAAGTCTTTCACGTTTCCATCTTTGGTTCGGTCAGTTTTACTAACTGAAAAATATCAATCTGGTTGTGATTTGATGGAGGCTGCTAAAAGGCTTCAGCCTTTCACATTTTTATCTTCTATCCGAGCAATTTTATTGATTGAAAATCAGTAATCTCGTAGCGATTTGATGGAGGCTTTAGCTTTTCAGTTTTGGTTCGGTCAATGGGATTGACCCCATTGACCGAACAAATGGGGAGTGCAGCTTTTGTTTTTTTCGGTCATTGGTTTTGTCCAAAAGTGAGAATATTGTAGATGATTGATTTAAGAGCTTGTAGGGCCCACCACGTTTCCCATTCTTTGCAGTCATGGGGCTTGACCGAAATGTTGCCTTCACTCTTTTTATGCCATGTCTTCTCTCATTCTCCATTATAATTGTGTTTAATTTGTTTCCTTCTTGTTCCTTTCTCCTTCTCCATCAGAAACTGTCTGTAATTTGTTTCCTTCTTGATCCTTTTGCTTCTGTTTTGCTTCTCCAGTTGCAACTATGGGTTTCTTTTGATTTGGTTAGTTTTAAGAGAAATTTCCTAAATGTTTTAATTTGATCTAAGTATGATTAGGTAAGATCTAATATGTTTTCTTTTCTTTACTATTTTCTTTATTTTCGGATAAAATTAAGTCAAATCTAGTATTTCTCCTTTTTTTTTTTTTTCTTTTACTCACTATTTTTCTTTATTTTCATGTAAAATTAAGTAGGATATAGAATTTTCCCTTTTTTTTCTTTTACTCACTATGTATCTTCATTTGTAATTGGAATATTAAGTAAGATCCAACATTTCCCCCCTTTTTTTGTTTTTTCTTTTCTTCATTAATTTTTTTACTTTTTTTCAACTCATTAATCATTTTTGCTTTTGTTTTTGTTTTTTTTGTTTTTTTTTTGTAGGTCTGCAATCAAGAGTATGGTTGTAATTTCACTAGATTTCCTTGAATTTGAAGTATTTGTTTTTATAAGTGTGTTCTAATTTTTTGTTAAATTTTTATTTTGAAATTTAATTAAGGAAAAAAAATATAA